TCATAAAAATAAAAAATAATAATAAATAATAATAATTTAATAATAATAAATCATAAAACCTAGATCTATAACCTATACGTACACTATATAACCTGTATCCTATAACTACCTGTTTCCTAATTTCTATACTATAACTATTTTCTAATTTCTACTACACAATAACTACACCATAGCCTAATATAACTATACCTGCTTCCTAATTTCTACTACAATACCTACCTATACCTACAACTTATCTTGTATACACAACGTAAGACAAGTTATTTTAATACTGTATCATTATATAATGACCTATTACTGCCTCCCACCACTACTGTCTAAATAATTTAACCTCTACAACATCAACATAATGAGTAGTCTTAATACACAATCTACCACACAATGTGCATATTATCAAGAATAATTATTAAATTAAGAATTAATTGTGCATCCTATAAAATAACAATAGACACTTGACACAGAATTGAGATTTCGCAAATATCGTGTCAACGCAAACCGTTACTTGCATCAAAACGTCAGATCACACGCACGTAATTTCAACGCTACGTTGATCATAAACCTACAATGAAAGTTATTGACTTATTTTGAAAGGTGAGGCAAACACTAAACAATTGATCCAAGTCAAAGCCACGGGATCGAGAAAGAGATCAGAATGAGAATTAGGAAGCTAGTACCCAGGTTCATCAAGCTACCTGCATCACAAACCTCACCAATCTACCCACCGTAACCTGGCTTAGCTCAACTGTGTAGTGTTTGCCTGCTTTTAAGTAGTTAAAGGATCGAGACGAAAAAAGAAAAAGAAAAGTCTGATCCTTTCTTCTGCTTAGAGTCCATATCACACAAAAAGGAAAGAGAGTGAAAGAGGAGAAGAGAGGGTTCCAAGTATGAGATACTGGGTGCCTCGATCCGACCCAAAAGGGGGACACGACTTCTCCCACACTCCTGGGCGAAACCCTCTCCCCTCCGCTGACCCTCCCCTTCCCTCTCACATGATCGGGACTAAAAGCAGGTCACTGTAAAAAAGGGTAGCTCAACCCATACAGTGAAAAATTATGCTCGTGTCTTCATTGAATCCAAAGTAGCTACGATATGTTCTCTCCCTCCAGTTCCTTTGTTCCTCTCCTTTCTCCTCTCCCCACCGGAAGACAGCTAGTAACAGAGGAATGATCCGATTGTAAACTGCAGGAGAAGTGTAGAGTAGTGATGCATGACATGACAATAGTGGTAATTCCTGTGTCCACAGCAACCACCTCCTTGATTAGAGCCTGATGTCTTTCTGAAGAGCTGTTTATAGACAGTAAATCTGTTCTTGATTGATAACCTCCCACCCTATGATCAATAGTGACAAACAGTAGCTACCCCAATGATTACAAATACCAAAAAAGGTCTCCT